AATATTATTCATTTCTTTATGGCTTTGCTGAGGTAGATTAATTATTCAAATATTTTACTCAATAATTAACTTAAAATGATAGACAATTAAATAAAGAATTTAATATTAAAAATTACAAGATAAACTTTAAAATTACCTTTTACTTTTACTTTTTATTCATAATTCATTTTCCTTCATTCTAAATACATTATTTAAATTTTTCTAAAAAGGATATAATCTAATAACTGTGACATCAAGTAAGCTGAATTAATTTGATTCTTAATTTGAATGAGATCTGAGAGATCAAATTATTATTTCATAATGTTTCAAACTAAATCTAAATTCCTCACGCCAAATATGCATAATTTATAAATAAACTTCTTTAGAAAATTTGATTTTATTCAATTAAAAGCTCTGTGTTGAATTAATGAAATATATTTACTTTACTAGCTGATCCATTCAACTTTAAATTAAGAGTAAAATTGAATTATATTTTAACTAAGCTAATTCCTCATTCATTTTTTTAATATTTCTATATAAATAACATTTCATAAAATTACTTTTTTGATTAATTCAATATAATCAAGAAATTATTGATTCCTAATGACTCATTAACCTAAAAATTCATAATTTACTTTTTTATTTTTAGCATTTCTAACATTAATATAAATATTCAAAACATCTTTTTTGTTATTTTATCTCAACACTTATTTTCTTTGAAAAATTAATCACCTGATGAATAAATTCACAATATTGATTTTTATTTTGTTAAGTTGTTTTTTTTTTTTAATTCTATTAATATTATTTTTAGTTATAATAATCAAAAAACCTTGTGTAAATGAAGCAAAACTAAAAAAAAATGAAAGGATTATGTCATGAATGATCAAATTAGAAATGTTCCAAAATTTTATTATTTATTTAAAATAAATTTTATAGATTTTATTTTTTAAATTAAATCATTAATTCAATGTCTACTAACGCTTAAATCTTCCCTCATCAATCATTCATTATAGAAAATTTTTCATTTTACTCAGTTATTTTTCTTTTTCAATAAAAGATCCATGAATTATCAATATCTGTCTAAATCTTCATCAAATGAGAAACTTTTAATAATTTTTCCAAAAACTAGCCTACACATAAATTCATTAGATTTGAAAGAACTATTTCAAATTTTACTTTAATTTAACAAAAATAAGTATTTTTAATTTCATTTGTAAATAGTAAATTAAAATTTCAGATATTATAACATGCAACTTGAAATATTTGATGATCTTAAGCCTCTACTTCCAACCAATATTAAGGGATTATCAAGATGGAAAATTAGCCATATTTATTAAACAAAAACTAATAGTTCAAATATAAATTAAATTAAATTAATGTTAAAACTAGCAGGATTTTATTCATAAACTTTTTAGATAAATAATTAAATAATTGATTTTGCATTTAATTTTAAAACCAAAAAAAGTTAAATCAAGGGAAAACATATTTGGATATTAAGGATTCAAGATACTCTGTTTTGGACCAAATGGATAAAAATATAGGTAATATTGCATAATCTAAATTTTTAATTAAAAGTGATTTCCATTCAGTTTGAATATATTTAATTGAGCAAAGATTTAATGAACTTAAATTAACAATCTTGATGATATAAATATCTAAGAATAATAGAATTAATCTACCATTAAAAAATTATATTAGGATAATTAAGAAATAATAACTTTCAAAGTGAATTTAATAAGAAAGAATAAATCGTTGAGAAAATAAAGGACCTATGATAATAGTGGCATTTTTACCAATTAAGAACTTGAACTTTTTGTTATTCTTCAAAGGACTATAATTAAAAAACATATCCATCTTTTGGGATGTAGTCAAAATATACTAGAATAAGGAAACTCTCTTGGAACTCATGAATATTGATTGAGTGCTCTTTAGCTAAGGAAACTTGTAAGTTAGATTGGTAATAACGTTTAGTTAAGACTTAACATAAATATATACCTAATAGTTTTGTACATGATATGATTTTTTAAATTTGTATAATGAATATCAAGTAATTAGATTGGTAGTTAAAAAATTATTATTTAAGATAGAAAATAAAATTCAAAAATAAAATTTCATAAAAGTTAAACTGAAAAAATAATCATATAATCTTTACTTATTAATCCATAATATTTAGAAATAAAAAGAAGTTTAGATTAAATCCTGATATTAATTTAAAATATATATTTAAAACTATATTGAGATCTAAACTTTTCAATAAAAATTTGTTCAAGACTTTCAATCTCTTAA